TGAGCCTCAGTTTGGCTCTCTTTTTCTCCCAATCATTTGGGTTTTTGAGTAATCCATTGCTGAGTTTTAAACTAGACATGTCAAGGAAAAAAACAAAATTGGTTTTGTCGAATTTGGTTGAGTTTTGGAAAAAAAGTCGCGAGCCCAAATTTGGAGCTCGTTTTCTCCTTCATTTTAGCTCCGTTTTGAGTGTGGTTTGTTGGGTTAGAAACTAGAGAGAATAAGCTTCAAATAAACTGCAAGTTTTCCCGGTTTGTTAACTTTAGGTTGGTCAAAATATGTCACAAAGTCTGGGTTTTTAAACTAAAAAACAAGGGAAGTTGCAGGATTTTTTTTGGGAAGATGATGAACAGTAACCGAAAACAATGGCGGCTATTCCGGCAGCCTTCGACGCCATATTTTAGTCCAGCTGACTCGATTTCTCAATCCGAGTCCAATGGTATATGTTTTGAGTTAATCCGAGGTGGTTCTAAGTATGGATTGTTGTAGGGCCCACGAGACCCAAATAGTAACTTTTGGATAACGGGTGTAGTTGGCCTTGTTTTGGTGTTGACAGGGCATAAGACAGAGTTTTAGATTATTTTGGACGAGATTTGACCCCTTTGGACCCTGAGTTGGTCCTAGGGGCATTTTCGTCATTTTCACGCAACATCTTTGAAATGCATAAGGTTAAGTTTGGACTTAGATGAAATAAAGTGAACACTGCTCAATAATAATTTGGATTTGAATTTGTTCAGGAATTGGATCAAAATTGTAGATTCGACAACTCCGAGAATCTCCGAAGGGTAAATTTGGTATTTTAGTTAGCTGGACATGAGGTAGGGTTTCTTGATTTCCCAATGATTGGGTTATGTCACTTTTAATCTTGGTGCTTTTATATGATATTATAAATATGAATATTGTTGTTGCTTTACTCGATGAATATTATTTGACGTTATTATTGATATTTCTTCGTGGATTTTATGTGACATTGAGTGAATATATTATTCATGCGATTAAATCTGAAATATTATTGTTATTATCTGTATTATTATTCAGTAGAGATAAATGATGTTCGCGCTGCATTACATATGCATCATAAATACAGTTGTGTTGGGTCTGTGTGTAGTTTAAGGTATATCTAATGTAACAACCCGGTCCTTAATTAATATTTAATTATTAATTTATTCTAGTAAAAGACAATTATACCCCTATAATATTTTATTAAGTTTAAAGTTGATTTTTTTACCAGGAAGGAATTTGGGGATTTGGGTGATACCATTGCGTAGAGCTCGACGATACGAGTTCATAGACATGCCGCACGCTCAATTCTGTGTTATAACGAAGGAAAAAAGGTCTAGAAACGAAAAGGACGTAAAGGGAATTTTAAAATTTCTTATTGCTACAGTACCCACTACAGTACCCGTACTCTTTTTATTTTTACAAATTTATAAATAAACCCAATCCTAGACATGTATTTATAAAAAAACCCAAACACTATTTAAACATAGAAACACACCCAAAATCAACAATTGTATATTTTTTGGGTGTGTTTATAAATGGGTTTTGAGTGTGTGTAATGATGGGTTTTGGGGGTGTTTATAAAGTGTTTTGGGTGTTGGGTTTTTTTATAATTTCAGCCCTCATTTTGGGTGTTTTAGTGAAACTCCCTTTTATTTTTCTCTCCTTCTTCCTCCCCGCCCCGAGCAACTTGAGCCATTTTTCTTCCTGGTTTTTCGACAGTCACTGTAGCAACAGTGACTGTTCGACTTCCAAGCCACAAAATCGACGTTATCGTTCACCGGATGGCCATGCCACCTTCACGAAAAGTGTTCATCTCGTCATCCTCTATAAAACCCACCTAAGACCCGATCCGATTGGCTAACGATGAGCTCGAATGACAGGACCCGTCCCGAATTTCCCCGGAACCCGAGACGAACCCTGCGGAGACCCCGGCATCACACCCACGCCGGGTTTACTCCTTAAATCTACGTCCTCGTTCACCATAGAGGATTAAGGGCACGAGACTTTCTGCCGAAATTTCGGCAGAGTCTCCCCTGTAAATTGAACATTCCCCAAAACTTTCCACCTGCATAAAACACATTTTATAACCCAACCAGCAGCACCAGTCCAGGTTATGTACGACCTGGGCGAATGTTTTTTTTTTTTTTTTTTTTTTTTTTTTTTTTTTTTTTTTTTTTTTTTTTTTTTTTTTTTTTTTTTTTTTTTTTTTTTTTTTTTTTTTTTTTTTTTTTTTTTTTTTTTTTTTTTTTTTTTTTTTTTTTTTTTTTTTTTTTTTTTTTTTTTTTTTTTTTTTTTTTTTTTTTTTTTTTTTTTTTTTTTTTTTTTTTTTTTTTTTTTTTTTTTTTTTTTTTTTTTTTTTTTTTTTTTTTTTTTTTTTTTTTTTTTTTTTTTTTTTTTTTTTTTTTTTTTTTTTTTTTTTTTTTTTTTTTTTTTTTTTTTTTTTTTTTTTTTTTTTTTTTTTTTTTTTTTTTTTTTTTTTTTTTTTTTTTTTTTTTTTTTTTTTTTTTTTTTTTTTTTTTTTTAAAATTTCTTTAGGGTTTGGTCTTTAGGTTTGATTTTTGTTATGAAACGTGTGTTGATTCTTAAACAACGCCCAACATATATATATGGTAGAAAAAATAACCAAACAAAAACACAGTTCAACAAGGAACAACCCTAAAATTGCAGTGAATAGTGACAATTGCTGAACAATGTTTTGGGGGATTTTGTGTAGTTTTTGAACGCCTTTTTGAATAGGGAAGACCTAACTTACACAACTCACCGCGTTTTCTGATATCGATTTAGGGTTTAAGGTGATCTGCTAGGTCAAAAACGTGTTTAAAGTTTTGAAAAAGGAAAAACCAAATTAACCACATGCTTTTCCAATTCTTTAAAATTCTTGATATTTTCATAAACCTGTTTAACCCATCTTCAAAAATTAAACATAACCAAAATAATTGAACATGACATAAACACAGATATGAAATCATAGCAAGCATGCTTGAACAACGATTACAGATATGTGTGAACAACCTATAGCTCTGATACCAATTGTTAGATTCTTTATATGCTGTTCTAGATCTTACACACAATCTGCAATACATGTAAAGACATGAAGACATACTTGAAGCCCATCTTCCTTGAAGACACAGCTTCTGAATTCATCAATTCCGTAGCAGCAACAATCCAGCAAGAACAGTAATGGCTCAAGACTTCTGCTCTCTCACAATCTGTTTCAGCTCTCTCTTTATGATGAGAATAGGTTTAGAGAACGTGTCTGATGAGAGCAGGGCCTTTAGCTTATATAGGGCTAGGTCAAGTCGTCTCTACTCATCACCGAGGGCCGACTTGACTTATCTTCCAAGCCCACTTAATCGGTTCACGCAAAAGGAAATAAAATAGGACTCCTTATTAGGCTCAAACCTTCCTTATTTACAGGTTTGGGCCTCAAGGCACAACTTAATTAAACTCTTATTAAACTTTATATGACTTAGTATCTAGTGCACTGATCTAAATAGGAAAACATAACAGTTTACATTGCTGCTTTTGTGAATATCATTCTAGTTGACACCGCCTTGGTCATTGAAGCTATTGTTGAGGAATAAATCCGAAGAAAAATTTCAGGAGAAAAATTGCAGGATGATAATGCTGGATATTTAAAAAACCATGGGTGCTACAAAATTATTGCCGACATGCTTATGCCGAAAATCAGCTGCCATTTTTCATTCTCGAGGATCTTTACAATTCAAGGTTCTCAGATAGGGAGCCTTCAATATTGAACTCTCTTACAGGTTCTTCCACAGGCACCACGTTTTATAAAACTTGGAGAACTCACCACCTTCCGTAAGTCTTTTATGCCTCCTAATCCTAAAAAAACATTTACATTTTGTTGATTTTATTAGAACTTTACATCTGCCAGATCCGACCCTAAAAGAAAATGTAGGGCTCCAAAGTACACCCAGGCATGACAAAAACTACATAGGCCGGAGTAAGTTAACGTGGGATCAAGCAAGAACTTATTCGATATACAGTTTCAAGAAAAACACCTTGGAAATTCCAAAAATTGAAATACAATATTACAGAGCTTACACTAGAAATCTCATTGCCTTGGACAATGCCATTGCGTGGATAAATACATAGCGATTATGTTTTTATCCTGGATAATTTGTAAACACCCCAAACACTACAAGAAAAGAGTAGTAGTACTAATTTCCTTGTGACCAAATGAATACTGGTCACAAACAGTAAATTTAATGACTAATAACACTATATGGTTACTAAAATGATTGGCATCTAATTTTAATTTTTAAATGACTAAATTTTTACCAGTATTTAAATTAGTCACTGAAAACAACTTAAATTATGTTATTAGTGACGAACACATATGCCAATGTCACGGGTCGCACATAGACAAGGGCTACCGTGACTCCGTTGGGACATCTATGCGCTTAAGAGGTAGTCTAAGTGTGGAAGGGCGAGAGCTTAAGAGCTAGAATGGTTGGTGTTGGCCGGGTTGCACTTGTGAAGGGTATTTTGGGTATTTCTGAAGGTTACGGGAGGACCTGAAGAAGCTAAGAATACCGGAATGTTCGTGATGTTGAGACGCAGGAAACGCAACTGACGGTTCGCCATTCGGAGTTCGTATGAGGAGTTATGCCCAATTATGACTCCTCGTGCATAGGTGATGTTCCCTCCTGGCAGAAGGCTAAATGCATAAAATGCTATATAGGGGGTGACATGGTGTCATGCTCCACCACCCCTGGTGCTTACACCCTTGTGGCACTAAGCGAGCATCCTTATGACATTGGAGGTAGTCATAAGGGCGGGCATAAGATTGTTGAAGGATAATCGTGTCTCCGAGGGAAAGGAATTCCCGAGGACAGTACGAACACGCGGGGCCGTTCGTATTGCGCATCGTTGTAAAGAGTGAGGTCAACGTATGACATTCGCTATGCCATCGGCTAGCGAGGCATTTGACAATACTCGGTGGACTTGGCTTGGGTTCGGCCTTGTCCAAGATGGAAGGAAGATATTCGAATGCCGGTACGCATGGGTTGCGACCCCATGCAATGCATAGATGGTTATGTGGGACATTCGGAAGACATATGTCGCCAAGGCTTGGGCGACATGCAAGTATGACAGCTTGCGTGTATAACTTGAGGATGTGGGCTATCGTGGACGCTAAAGGAATGACCGACAAAAGTGTGGGTAAACCGATGGTGTGTGGATCGTTATGTCTTGACTTGGACATGAGCGAGCCAGGAGTTAAGCATGCGACGTGGTCGATGCAGTTGACGTGTCTTATGCAACGCTTAATGTATGGGCGTCGAGGGTTCGTTGCCGGATGCGGAGTGATTGTATTGTCACATGGTAGTGTGACTTGTTGTCTAGGGGAAGACGACACTTGAAGGGGAACCTCTCGCGGAGTTGTGAGAGTCATGAATATCATGAAGTGGGAGAAAGCTGACTGGGATCCGAAGGGATCCTGGGCCGCACGGGTGTGCTTTGAGTGGCGAAATTTGTGTTTCGCTTCCGCCGCGCCGCGCCGCTCGGTCATCCCGTGACACAAGGTAGCCTTGCTTCCCTTATTTGATACATAAGTGACGTCCCCGTTTTAAAACTTGATTTTTTTTTTCAAAACGCGGAGGGTACTGCATCAAATAGGAAAAAAAAAGAAAAAAGAGACGGAGCGAGAACAGGGCAAAATCAGAGCGAGCGAGATCAGAGCGAGGGAGACAAGAGCGTGAGACCAAAACTCAAGAACAGAGCAAGCGAGATCAGAGCGAGCTAGGTTTTCGTTTGTTACTCAGGCAGAGCTTGATTTTAGGTTCAATTTTGATTTCTCTTTCAATTTCAAGCGGATTGTTACTCTGGGGTTCAGATTTGTTGTATTCTCTTATTGTTTTGCTTTTGTTTATGATTTGTATTAGAATCTGATTTTGATTTCATGTTTGAGGGTTTCAAAGACAGAGATGGAAAATTGGGGAAAATCGGAGAGCAAAGGAGCGGCTCTTAGTTAATTATTGTTAATTAGTTTATTTGTAGTAGAAGTGCTGCGGGATTGTAGAATTTTTACATTGATTTAAGCGAAATTGTTTACTTGACATTTGGATTCAAATTTGCATAAAAATTGAAGGAAACTGGCCTGGTGTTCATGACATGCGGGATTTTCCATATGCTTGTCACTGGTATATGTGATATCATTTTTGTTTTACTTTTTATCATATCTACTATTTCCATCGATTGTTTCTTATGATATTATTTGGTCTAGAAAGCACATTGGTTACTGTTTTGGAAAGGATCTTTAGGACAAGATATGGTACTTCTCTCATCCAAGTATATGATATGCCTTTGTTTCTTGGATGTACGTATTATGTCTCCTAGGATATAGTTTCTTAAACATTTCTCTTTGTTCTTACTTCAGCTTTTCATACAGTTTGACCTAGCAGCAGAATCTCGAGAAGTCAGTTCTTCGGCAATTAAAATGGTATGCGTAAAAGTTGCTTATGCTTCTTTTAATTTACTTTGAGAGGGATGAATGGTATTGCTCCTAATTAGAAAAACTACTGCTTTATTTGTCATATTGTATACTTGCTCCTGTCTTCTTGAATTTTTTTGGGGAGTTGATTACTTAGCAGACAAATTATTAGTGTGGGCATGGCATCATACAACCACCATCAGGTTACTTAATTCCGATAATTTAAATGAAGGTTGTTTTGTACCGGTTTTTAATTATCAATTTATTAGGTTGGAATCTGATTCTGGGGTTCCAGGATGGATATGTTGGTGTTGATGTTGCTTGTTGTGAAGGGTTGGGCAAAATTTGATTGGAGTCTTACAGAAAAGAGCAAGCTTGATGCTCATCAACCAGAGCTTTTCATAGGATTGTCCTTGACAAGGTAAAAGGGACACTCTGCATGTTTGACAGTTTTCTTATCATTATGACCAAAGCGAGTATGTACATTCTTAATTTTTAGGCATGCATTTGCAGAAAGTTACATGCAACTGACGTTGTTCAGTGGTTTTCTAATTTATGATGTTAATGCATTATTTTATGGAATATTTTCTTTTGATTAGGTTTTAGGTCAAGGTAAATGGCATGCGTCACTTGACTCTGATTTTGTTTATGGGGAGTATATTTGCACAATCTTAATCTGTTTGTAAGAAATTGAAAGATGTATATATATTCATCAATGAAGAGGAACTCCAAAGACATGTATTGATCTGATTATTTTTTGTTGGATGCCCTTTTTCTTCAATTGGATCAATCAATGTGCAATGTTCTGATTGTTTTGTGGTGGATGATTCACATTTTTAGCTGCAAGGAAGAGATCATCAGAATTTGAGTTTGAAGAGTCTGATCCAGAGGTAATTAGACACTATTTCCTTTTATAGAAATTCTTGAAAAATTGTAACATGTTTATTCAAAACTCAATAATAGATGTTGGCTTTGTACATTGCTGTTTATTGGTAACACATTGGTTTCTCTACTCATGGCCTGGCTAAACTTAAAATATTTTTCACATTTCATGAAGAGGTATGAATCTCTTTGGTTTGTTTCATTATTCACATTTCACTATTTTGGCTTCATCTGCGTCAAGATCTTGCTACCTTCTATTCTATAGTATCTATCCTGACATTTTGCCACAGTTTTTTAAGGGCCTTAATATCACAACAGGGCACAAAAAATTATTCACAAAGCATTTCAAACATATTATGGTGCAGCAGTAGAACTACTTCAATCCAAGCATCCTGTAAGAGTTTGTGGCCTAGCTTAAGATAGTTTACTTTTCTATCTTTCTTTCTGGGTCTAGAGGGTTAGATGTTGATTTTGCGCCTTATACGTATGCTTTATCTATGTTGGATAGAGCTTCTAATTTATTTTCTTGCTAATGATATCTGTTTCTTATTTCAATAGTGGAATACTGGTTTTGATTGTAATTAATGCATTTTCATGATACTTTAGTCACTTTCCAAAATTGAGCATGAAAATGCCAAATTCCTTAATGCTAAAAGAGAGCTCAGTGATGAAAATGTCTCTTCATATGAAAAACAGTGGAAATCTTATGAACAATTGCACCGCAATGTCTCATTGTAGTTGCTTTACATTTTTGCTGCCATTTATTTTCATTTTTTAATTCATGACTTGGTGCAGGTCAGATGAATCACATAGTTTTGTAAACAGTTGGTAAAGAGTTGAAGTTGCAACCAGATGGATATATGCTTGTTGTTGAAGGTTCCACCAGAAGGGCAGAAGCTTGCAGTAAGTCAATTGTGGTGAATCATATTTTTATGTTTTTGGATCAATTGACATATCTAGGTTGGGTTGTAGAGTCATCTAGGTTCTTTTTTTTATAATTTTTTATAATTTTGAAAGAGATGTATGTCTAGACTTGGATTTGAATTTGTTCAAACTTGGGATAGCTTGTGAATTTGGTGGAAGAAGTTGATATTTTTTGAATGCAATGCATTATTTTATACTATTTTTTTATTATCAAAATTGTTTCTACAGCACTATGTATGAAAAAAAAATAGACTTTATTTCATATATTGTTACACAACAAAGAACAAGGAAATAAACCAATTAGTTACGATTTTTCAAATACATTAGTGACCAACTAAGTAGGTGAGAATTTAGTCACGTGACCCACTTTTAGTGACTAAATACGTGTTTTAGTGACCAAATTGTAAGCCCTTTAGTGAACAAAGTTGCAGTCACTAATAGCTGTTTCGATAGTGACCAAACAAAGGAAATCACTAATTCTTTGGGTTGTAGTGACCAATATTTGTAGTTGGTCACTAAATAGAATTTGTAGGGGTGGCATTTTAGATCGAAAAACCGCAAAAACTAACCGACTATTTATCGCAATGAAATCGCGATCGCGGTAAACCGAACCGCATTTGCGGTTGCGGTATTTAATTTTCAAAACTTGCGGTTACTGCAAATCGCAAAATATAGTCAATCTATGTTGTTTTATTTGATCTTCTTATAATAAAATGTACTAAACTATGTTGTTTTATTTGTAGATAGAATTGGTGCTCAAACAACATAACGGGGTTCTTCAATCCACTCATCACCAACACTTGAGTTTGTAACATTGGTGCATTGCATTTTTCTTTTAGTTTGTAACTTTAATTAACTTTGAATTATATTTTCCTTTTAGTTGTAAATTTAATTCATTTTGTTTTGCATTTTCCTTTTGGTTTGTAATTTTAAAGGATTTGGAATTGGAATGCTTGAAAGTTTAACTTTAATTGAAATGCTTCGAATTGTAACTTTAATTTTCTTTAGGTTGTGAATACTTGAGAAGTTGAGGAGATTGTGAATTTATATATGCTTGAGAAGTTGAGGGTTGTGTATTTATTTATTTAGGTTGTGAATTTATATTTTTGTGAATGCTTGAGAACTTGCGGTTTTAAACCGCTAATTCGCAGTAACCGACCGTTTTTTTGCAGTTTCAAAAATCACCATACCGCAAATAGTAGGTCGGTTTGCGGTTTGGGCAAAAATTTGCGGTTATCGAACCGCAACCACCCCTAAGAATTTGTGACGAGCTTCTAACCTGGTGACCACCAGTATTTGGACACTAGTTGTATTCAGTGACCAAAATTGATACTTTTTGGTGACCAATTTGCTGGCCACTAATAAACGGTTTTCTTGTAGTGAAAGGATGTAGAGTTGCTTTGTTGAGAATAGAATTGTTGTAAACACGCTAGGTGACAACAATAAGGTTTCCATTATGATTAACAAGCTTTGCAGTAAAGTTGCTCCGAACCACGGAAACTACTATTTTGGTGATCTTGCTGGCAAACTAAACGAGTACTGCGAGAAGACCACGAACGTATGGAAGGCAAATTTGAGACAAAGTATTTCAACACACCTAGGGCAGCTATTTCTCTCTTTGCAGCTATTATTCTTCTGATACTCACTGTCATACAAACAGTGTGCTCTATTATCTCTGTTATTGATAAAGTATAGCAGTAAGTCTCTCCGTAGCCATTTTCTCCCTATCTTGTTTTTTGTTTTTCGTGTTTTGTTTTGTGTTTCAAGTATGTAAAAGAGTGGGATCAGGGATAGATTCATGTTGGGTGTGTTGTAGAAGAAGTTTGTAACCTGTTGCTAATAAGAGCTGTACTATTATTATTATTATTTTCCCTTCTACTAAATGCAGGTGTGTAAAACACTTACAGCTGGGAATAATATAAGAATATGTAAAGGAACCAATCTGGAAAAATTACAGATCGGTAGATACTGAAGTGATCAAGAGTGCACTAGCTAGGCTCATTGCATAGCCTCTTCCAAGGTCTTCAAAATCTAAGCTGCTGAAATGGGTTGAAATATGTAACCCATCAAATTTTTGTTCAGTTTTTCACATTTAATATTTCAAAATAATCAGTTTCTACAATATTTCCCTAGCTAATAAATCTCAGTACATGGATATAGAAAGTTAGACAAATATTTTAAGAAGTTTGCAGTTTAGCAACAGTTTCTGCGTCCATGTTGAATAAAAAATATTTCTTTTATATTCTCGAAGAGCTACATACAGAGAGGCAACCCTTTACTGGATGCTGGTTGCTGTGGGGGAATATTGAATGACAACACTATGCTTGGACCATTGTCATGTGGCAGGTGGCCAATACTCTTTGGCTACAGGTTTGTCAGTAGCTCACATTAGATAAGTCACAGGTGTATTAGTGGCTTATATGAGATTTTCTAGTAGTGACTATTAATCTAATAAAATTCTATAGCATTTTTTTTATTAAAAAAAAATTGTAGATTTACTATAATTTTTTTTTTGGAGTTATTAGTCACATATCCATTCTTAGCACTAATAATATAGATAGACCATACACCATTTAATTTCTATAAATAAACAAAAAAAACCAAAGATAACTGCTGGCCCTATTGAATTTAATTTTGATTATTAATTACTTTGATGTTTATTCAGTATTTTGGGTTTTTTTTTAATGAGGTTTTGGGGTTGAGTTTGTTTAAGAAATCAATGACAGTTTAGTAATTTAAAAAAGTTAAAAGTCTTTTTGTTTTGTTGTAAATAGATTTTGAGTGTGTTTCTAAAGTCCATTTCATATAGGATTTTTTTCATAATAAATAATTTGGGCTCCTATATTGAGTATATAGTGAATCTTCTTTTTTTTCCGTATGGATTGTTGGTAAGAAAAATTTAGGCAAATTTCGTTTTAATATTACTTTATGTAGAGCAAGAAATGTTATTAAATACTTACCAAACAAAATGGTGGCATTGTTCAGATGGTAGAAATGGAGACTCTAGTTGGCTATTGCGGTTCCTTTGGCTTCTGTCTTGGTTCTTATTCGAATATCCTCACCTGCTATCTGCGTTGCGAAAGGGGCGTAGAGATTGAGTTTTTAGGTTGCATTGCTAAATGTAATTGTTTGTCATTAAATTTATGTTTTTTTTTCAAGTGGTTGACATTAAAATTGGGGAGTTCTTTTCAACTCTCTGTCAAAATGTCGATTTTCCGTGCTAAAAGAAAATAGTTTATAATTCAAGTGGGTAAGCTTATTTATTAGAATATATATATATATATTTATATATTAGAGACTAAAAGAATGTGCAAAAGTTATGTTAGAGAAATTAGTATAAAAATAAGCCTAAATGTATTAAGGCAAGAATGTAAGTGGCAAATTAAATACATACGAATTGAATATAACTAGGCACCACCAAAGTATTAGGGGGTTGTCAACAATATAAAACATGTCCAACACTTTATAGAATATAGAATACAATATTAATGTCTTTTTAGAAGTTTTTATTTTTATACAAGCAATATTAGGGGAGAGGGGATTCAAACACAGAATCTCAAGTGCATTTTAATCACTAGGTCTGAATAGAGCAATAAAATAAATACCTAGTACGTTAGGTCTGAACAGAGCTTTTACAGTCGGCCACCGAACGCAAAACAAGCTTAGTTAGAGGTGTATTTTAATCACTTCCGTATATCTTTTTTTTTAAAAAAAAAAGAAAAAAAGAAAAGAAGAGAACAATAGGAGAAAACAGAGGAAAACATGGGAAAAGAGCTTGCATTGCATACCTGTGGTTTTCTTTCTTTGGTACGTCCAACTGGATCTAAAGAACCAAAAAGAAAAAGAAAAAAAAAGAAGAAGTATGCGTCGCTGTTCTTATTCATGTCAACCCAAGTCCATGTACTGGTGTGCACCATTTGTGTATGTAGCGAGGAAGAGGGTAGAATGTAGATAGAAGATATTAATTCAATCATTGAACTTCTTCCTATATATAGCCCATCATTGAGCTTTTCATTTCCATAACAAAAGAAGAAGAAGAAAAAACCATTGAACCGACTTGCTCTTTTTTGCATAGCAGGTGCGAATTCCCTTCCTTTTTTGTTTTTTAATTATTGTTTTTTCAATTGATAGCATTTTCTTGAAGATTTTAGTTTCTTATGTTTCAATGGTAGTTGGGGATCCCGAGCCTCTGCATTAAGACACTACGCATTTATCTGCATTTCGCTAAATCTAGGCCATTATAATAATCTAACCCTTTGGAACATGACACATCGTCAAGTTTTTTTCTTCTCTAAACAAACGTTAACTATTGTTGTTAAACAAGATTTTAGTCAGTCACAAATAATAATCTAACCCATTATACTTTACACAGAACAAAGAAAAAAAAATAAAAACATGCTCTAAACAAGAGTTTAGTTACCCACAAATAAAACTTAACTCTTCTGTTTAGTGAAGGAAAAAAAAACTTGATGATGTGTCACATTCTAAGGAGTTAGATTATTATAATGGTCTAAATTTAGCGAAATACTGGTAATGTGTAGTCTCTAAGTGCAGAGGCTCATGATCCGGTAGTTGGACATTTGAATTGATCAATGTTGTAACTTTATTCTTTTTTGTTGTTGATATTCTTTTCTTTAAAGGGAAGCATGAGATCTAAAATGGAGGATATAACAGTTTAATTCTTGTGATATAATATTAGATCTAATGTCAACCATATATAATTGTCAATTCATTTTTCATTATTCGTGTTTTTTTTTCTTCTCATCTCCATTTTCTTTTGTATTCTTCTTCTTTATTTCCTCTTCATCTTCTTACTTCATGTGAACCGTGCACGGTGGTGCACATGTCTTCTTGTGTTCAAATATACACGAGTGTAGGTATGTTATAAATATGTTGTGCGTATATGAATGTTCCCATGGTACGGTTTGGTACCTATTGTGAAGGTAATTAATGAAATATAACCTTGAACACGTGTTTATTATGGTGCCAATAATACCCTCATCACTTACAATCAGAACAACATGGCGTAGAAAACCACAAAACCCCAGTAGCAGATTTGAAGCGGCGGTTGTATAGTTTGTCTCGCCGGTCCTTTGATGAGTGCTGTATCTACAGGGTTCCTTTGCGACTACGGGGCAGAATAACGCTTACACCCCGGAAGTAGTCTCAATAGGCCCAATTCACCATGACAACAAAGAATTAGAAGCCATGGAAGAGTACAAACAGAGGTACCTACAAAATTTTCTTCATCGGAATATAAGGTTAGCTTGGAGGATTATGTAGAGAAAATAAAGGCCCAAGAAGATAAACTCCGTGGTTGTTATGGAAACGCTCAGCACTTCAAGAGTAGTGACAAGTTTGTAAGTATCATTCTAGTTGTTGCCGCCTTTGTCATTGAGCTATTGTTGAGGTACCATTTTAAAGAATTGCGAGATGATAATGACTGGATATTTAAAAAACCATGGATGTTAACAAATATAGTGCCCGACATGCTTTTGCTCGAAAATCAGCTGCCATTTTTTCATTCTTGAGGATCTTTTCGACGCAAGCAAAGTCAGAGTTAAGAATTCTGAGACTGAGAGGCCTTCAATGATTAAGCTCTCTTACCATTTCTTCAGAAAGGTAGTGGGTTTACAGAGGTCGGAAGACGAATTGGAGTGGACTGAACCACCTTTACATTTTGTTGATTTTATTAGAACTTTACATGTGCAATATTTGGATACTGGTACCCCAGAAGCTGAAGAACTCCCATGTATACCCAGCGTGACAAAACTACACCAGGCCGGAGTTAAGTTTCGTCTGGAATCAAGCAACGAGATAAGTTTCGTCCGGAGTCAAGCAACGACTTATTTGCGATACAGTTCCATAATGGAACTCTGAAAATTCCAAAACTAGAAATACATGATGACACAGAGCTTATACCTCAGAAATCTCATTGCCTTTGAACAATGCCATTGCACAGACAATTACTTAAGCGATTATGTTTTCCTCCTGGATAAATTTGTAAACACCAAACAGGATGTAGATTTACTTGTTGAGAGTGAAATTGTTGTAAACACAATAGGTGACAACAATAAGGTTTCTTCTACTATGATTAACCAACTTTGCAAGGGGGTTGCTCCGGACCAGCAAAATTTCTATTTTGGTGGTCTTGCTGACAATCTAAACAAGTACTGCAAGAAGTGCAGGAACAGATGGCTGGCATATTTGAGCCAAAAGTATTTCAACTCACCCTGGGCCTGGGCAGCTTTTTCTCTCTTTGCAGAGGCTACTCTTCCCATACTCACTGTAATACAAACAGTGTTCGCTATTATCTCTTTTTGTCGGCAGTAAGTCTCTCCCTATCTTTTTTTCGTTTTGTTTTGTTTTGTTTTGTCACTGTAATACAACAGGCTAGCTTTGTTTTCAATAAAGGTGTGCTATGTGCTTGCTTTAACATAGTGAGATTCATGCAAGTGTGTAAAACTGTTGCTAATAAGAGCTGTACAATTATTTTCTAAATGCAAGTGTGTAAAACTGTTACAGCAGGGAATAATCTAACAATATGGAAAGGAAAATCGGTAGACACTGAAGTGATCGACAGTGCACTAGGCTTGTTGCTTAGGTCTTCACAACCTAAGCTAATGAGTTGAAATATGTAACCCGTCAAATTTTTGTTCAGTTTTTCACATTTAATTTTTCAAAATAATCAGTTTCTCCAATATTTCCCTAATAAATATCAGTACATGGATTTAGAAAGTTGGCTTACATAAAAATATGGATTTATTATTTTCATAAATGTCAGTTTTTCATATATACATATAGTAGAAAACTTGCTTGCAAACTTGGGGTTTTCTTTTTTTGAGATGAGAGCATCCACAATGGGCTCCCTAAACCACCTCCTTAGACAAATTTTAAGGAGGAATTGTAAAAAATACAACTTCAACCATGCTCTCTATCCACCTCCTAAAATAGGGAGACCTTTAGGAGCTCCTAAACTTGAGGAGAGAGAAATGACTCCTAGTGGCTCCCTATAATTTAATGCTACTTTATTTAATGAGTATTTTAGACCTTTATTTAATGCTAACTATTTTTTTTTTAATAGAGATGGACCAATCAAAAAAGAGTTATGGCATTTATAACTCCCTAAACTAGAGAAAACGATTGAAGTTTAAATTTTATAGAGAGCTCCTAAAATAACTTTTATATGTTTTTAGTTAAAATTTAACTTCAAATAGAGAGCATGATTGTGGATGCTCACTGGATTGAAAATCTAAATAATTAGGAATTGAATGGCTCGGACACAAATTTTTTTTTAAATAGTTGAACATAAGAGCCATTCAATTCCTAATTATTTTACAAGTCAAACTTGACCGCAAGTCCATGCTCTGCCGGGGTCTAACCCGATGAACAAAGAGTCAATAATTTTGACTTGCAGATTAAATGTCTCAGGTTTGAATCCCACAACATCATAATTAGAGTCAATAATTTTGACTTGCAGACTAAATGTCTCAGGTTTGAATCCCACAACATCATAATTGTATTTATGTGTGTCAATTTCCCCAACCTATAGTTTGCATTCATAAAAAAAGATTCTGAAGGTGTGGGTCTAACTTTTTAGATTATGCTATGGTGGATTTGGGTCATTATGATTGTTCATTTCATATTTGGAACTATCCGTTTTTCGTGCAGTGTGTTTTCTGCTTTTTAACTTTGATGAGTTTAAAGGGGGATTCATGGGCTTAATCAAGGTTTGTCTCTCTCATGCCATCCATGGAGAGGAGTCTAAATTGCTCATTCATAAATTTGTATTACGAATTTGTACTATCATTTGGAATAGTTGACTAGTTCTCAATTTCACCATGTGATTGGTGAAGCTGTGACAAATTTGCGTCATGTTGAACATTCCTCATGAATATGGAGTTAACTTGTTTTTAATATTTATAATTTCGATGTACAACCTCGATTTTTTTAAGTCTAGAATATAGGTGTTTGGAAGTTCTTTTATAGGCAGCACTTCTTCTCATTAGCGCTTTTAGAAGAAAAAAAAAGTTTTATTAGAAGCGTATTTTAATTAATGTATTTACTTCTAGAAAGGACATTTGGAAGTGCAATATGCTTCTAGTATATTGCATACTGCACAATATTCCCCGGTCTAATTTTAATTATATCAAGGTGTAGCCATCCCATGCAAGCAAAGTAATATAACAAGAATGAGCCACACTTTTCCTTCCCAATTTTTCTTTCTTTATTTAAAATTTAAGAAAGTTTCTTTCTATTTCTATAAGACAAACAATTTATGAAACCGCGACCGCGACCACGACCACGACCACGACCACGACCACGACCAAGAAGAGATTAGCCAAACCCTAGACTTATTTGTATAAACTGAACAATAAAAAAGAAAAAAGAAAAGAAAAAGTCAAGGAGAAGAATCAAAGCAAAGGAAACACCACGAGGGAAGAGAGGATTATAGCCAAATGGGGCGTGAAAATGCATTATAGAAAGAAAGCGGCAGTTTTTACACTTTACACGAAGTTAGCAGCTTTGCCCTCTCCAAGTTTCCACCAAGTGAAGAAACCAAAACCAGCATCATCATCTAAAACTTGTGCAAAATCTTGGAACCCAAAATTTATAAACTTTTCCTTCCCTCTTTGCTACAACTCTACAACTCCATTCACTTGGGGGCTTTTGTTTACCCCTCTTTTTTTTTTTTCTTTTTTTTACCTTTTTACCTTTTCATTTCTCTCCCAATTTGAAGAGTGAAAATTACAAGAAGAAAGAAAAAAACTGTAAAACTTGGGAGAGTGGGAATTTGTTACTGTTAAGTGAAGTGAGAGGGAGGGCTAGACACTCAATCCATCAAATCCACACTGCTTGTAAGTAAGAGACTGCTTCCTTGGACTTATAACAATTGCACAATCCACGGACACCTGCACATCAACTCAAAAGTTTTAGATCCACCGAAAATTATATTAGCCCCAAAAACAAAACACAAGAAAAAAGAAAAGGACATGAAAACAAGCATAAAGAAAAAGGCTGTCTGCACAAGCAAATAATGCCAGCATTGTGACTGGACCATCATGCACCACCAAATCACATATAATGGAACCCAGCTTAAAAACATCCTTAAACATTCATGTTGTTTAGTTAAATATAAACCTTCTTTACCTATACACTTATTCTATTTTATGATTTACACTAGAGTTCGTCACACAAAGTCACACCGTGTGTTCTCGATCGTGTTCATTTCACCATAACGCCAATGCTTAATCACAAACATAGGATCAACGTAAACTCACAATGCACAATGAACGCTTGATATCGCGTTAAACAATTTAAAGTACCTTATGCGCTGCCTAGGCGACGTGTTGGTGGACTGCGCTTGCGAGAGATTCTCCGTAGCTTGTCGACGAGAACCGTCTCTTCGAGAGTGAGCAGCGGAGCACCTTTCCTCGTGATCCTCATTGTGATGATTATCCAGTTGACCACCCTGGGGACGTAGCCTCTCGTTAATGCTCCTCTGCGAGTGGACAGCTGAGCGTCTTTCTTCACGATCCTCGTTGCGATGGTTGTCTGGCTGACCTTCCTGGGGGCCTAGCCTTTGAAGTACATTTCCCTGCGGGCCCAAGCGGGCATGGACGTCAAGTCGTGGGCCTAGCCTCTAGCGCATGTTGTTCCTCAAACTTAATCTGCTCCGAGTGGGGCTCGCAGATGCTTGTGACATGTCGGTAGGCCGATCAAGTTGTTGTCCCTCGCCTTGTCTGCCCACTCCTGCTCGACTTGCTGGGTACCCGTTGAGCTGCCTGCCGGTGCGTTCGTCCGTCCTTCTCTCTTCGCCCAGTTGTCCAAGGCCAAGGTTTTGAGCCAAGCCGATTTGGTGGAGGAGTTGCCTCATCAGATCTCTTTGGTCATCCATTCTCTGAGCTAGCTGGTCAACTCTCAGACTAAGGTCTGCTTGACTTCGTGGATCGGGAGGAGAGAAGTGTGTGGAGCCCAATTGTACACGGGCTAGGGTTTCATTGGAGGTGTACGCGGGAGCATGTGTCGAGCGTGGAGGCAATGGAGGGAACGCTTGAAGTTGCTCCAAGACCGGGCCTAAGTCGATGGTGGTAACAAGCCCACCTTGATGAGAGGTTCCACCATGTTCGGCGGTGGTGGCCGGTGCGGTGGTGAGAGGTGGTGGTGCCACCATGTCGATTGCGGGACCGTGGGTGGAATGGCTTTGGGCCGTCACGGATTTAGCCATCGCGGCGGTTTTGCCTCTCGTCTTCATGCTTCCAACCATGATTGTTTGGAAGGCTTCGGTGGATTGGAAAATAGGAGGAACGGATTCCTTGAGCACGCGTTGAGTATAACTCGTGCTCTCAATGAAAGCACCAATTTGGAGGGAATGATTTTACCCAAGAGAATATTCGTCAAAGATTCCTTCGTCTTCTCCTTGCAAAACAGATCGGAGTAAAAGGACCACACCCGGGGGGTGTTGGCCAAAGGCCCTCTGATGCCTAAGTTAGGTAAGGTATTTGAAGGAAAACCTGGTGGCCGGAGCCGTGTGTGGTGGCCGGAGCCTTGTGTAAGGGAGAGAAAGAAAGTGGTGGCTAGGGTTTGTGAGAAATGATTTCTGCAGAGTTTCAGCAAGAATTTAGACGTACCTCAACCCTTGTGTGTGGCTATGCTTTTATAATGGTCTTGGAGAATATTCGTCAAAGATTCCTTCGTCTTCTCCTTGCAAAACAGATCGGAGTAAAAGGACCACACCCGGGGGGTGTTGGCCAAAGGCCCTCTGATGCCTAAGTTAGGTAAGGTATTTGAAGGAAAACCTGGTGGCCGGAGCCGTGTGTGGTGGCCGGAGCCTTGTGTAAGGGAGAGAAAGAAAGTGGTGGCTAGGGTTTGTGAGAAATGATTTCTGCAGAGTTTCAGTAAGAATTTAGACGTACCTCAACCCTTGTGTGTGGCTATGCTTTTATAATGGTCTTGGAGGCTAGGGTTTCAGAGGAATAATTCCGTAGATGGAAGGGAATTATTCCTCCCCTTTTTGGAATTGATTTGATTTGATTAATTAGAGATTTGATTTATTAGGGTAAATCAAATCCCTAATTGTGGTAGGTATCAAATCAAATCCTAATTCAATTAGGTAACTCCTCATTTAATTGGGAATCGTGGTAATTAACCAAATCAATTCTTAACCCAATTAGGCAACGTTCAATTTAATTGGGTAATCCCCAATTAAATTGAGTAACTCCCAATCAGGTTAATTAATTCCCAATTAGGTCAAATAATCCCCAAATGGAATGAATTATTTGACTTAGGGTTTTGATTTAATTTGGTTACCACAATATCTTCGAAAATGGGGCTTCTTTCGTCAAACAGGTGCCGGAAGAGCAAAGCCAAACTATAACGGAGAACAAACTTTCCTAGTTGTTAATGCCAAATCTGTCCGCTCATTGACAAGGTCATCTGGTGCTTTGATATGCATCAAAAGATCCAGATGCTAATTAATTACGGCATAGGCTCATGCGATGCAATGTGGAGATGATATAATTGCATGTCATATATATATATATATATATATATATATACATGCATAGGAAAATCAATTGTATGTCAGCTGAAAAAAGGTGAACAATTGTATAGTGGATATATAAATCTCATCTCCCTCCTATAGTAATGCAAGATATATATATATATATATATATATAATCGATTATATAATGCCATTGTTCACCTTTTTTATGATTATATATATATAATGCCATTACCCAAGACTATACTTATTTTACGATTTATTTTTATTAGTGATCAGGACTGGCACTGAAAATGGTCATAAGAACAGTTGATGTAAAAGATTTCAGTTTTATAATGATGCAGAAGACCAAATCCCAGATGCAATTCCACAAGGGTAAATGACCTAGGCCATTTTTTCTCATAAATAAAATTCATTTTTTATTCTCGCGCAATGGGCTAATAGCCGGAAATCATTAGAATGGGAGGTATCGGAAAGAATTTAAATTCTCATTCCCCAACATCACTTGTATAAATAAAATAATTGAAGAAATAACTCTAGCCCAATTAGCTGAATTGGTATTTTAGCTCTAAACCGTAAAATAATATGACAAATTGTATATTTAAAGCGTATAGCAGTTCGGCTATACTATCAAATGTTGTTCAGCAATTGAAATCTCCACTGTGATAATTGTTTTTCCATTTAAACAAACAAAAAAAAATTGCAAAATCAGAAACATACGTAAATTGCACGCCATGGCAGCCACGGATAGAGACTCGAACTCGTAGTTAGGCGGTCTGGGCGGAGCTAGGCGGCTCCTAGGCGGTCTGGGCGGATCTAGGCGGCCCCTAGGCGGTTTGGGCGGAGCTAGGCGGCCCCTAGGCGGTATGGGAGGATCTAGGCGGCCCCTAGGCGGTGTGGGCGGAGCTAGGCTGCCACTAGGCGGTCTGGGCGGATCTAGGCGGCCGCTAGGGGTCTGGGCGGATCTAGGCGGCCTGCGCAGGTCTAGGCTGGTCTGCGTTGGTGTTGAGGTCTGCTGCTCTCATAAACCAGAAGTGCCATGTGAAGAACAAGGATATTAGGAAGTTTCTTGATGGGATTTTTGTGAGTGAGAAGAAGAGTGCTTTTTCTGATTTTGATTTTGAGTTTTTCATCTGTACTCTTCTTCTTTTTTTAAATCTTGCATGGAAATTTTGATGAGTAAGTTTTACTATATTTTGGGTTTCTGTTGCCAAACATAAATTGTGGAATTCTGGGATTATTTTATGCAGGTTATTGATTTTTAAAGTGAGAAATGTGATGGCCAATCTTTCATTTGCACAATCTTCAGTTTTTAAATGTTTGTCTTTGAGCCAAAATGGGGAAGAACACTTAAAATAATTTCCACTAATAAAAATGCCCCAAAAATGGTTCTTTATAGTTGCACCATCAAGTAAGTTAAACCCTGGAAAAACGTAAGGTGTCATGCCTTTTTAGAATTGCTAAACTGATTGTGAATTCCGCTAAAAAACCAACCCATTAAAACTTGATTCAGTGATCCCAATTAGTCCAAGAAAGTTTCATATCCGTATCAATGGAGGGTTGCTCTTATTATTTGGCAATGGTACTGGTTCAGCTCATATATGGTGGATCAAACATCCTCATAAAATTCTCCCTTGCAGAAGGACTCAATCCAATTGTCTTCGTCGTTTACCGCGGCATGTTATGGCCATGGTTTTGGTAGGACCATTTGCTTATGTACTTGAAAGGTAAGCTATCGATTCTTGCATCTCTTCATATTTCCAGGCAGTAAAAACAGAGAAAACTAATTCTTGAATGGATTTGTAAAGCAGGAAACAAAGGCCTTCACTCTCATTTTCTGTAGCTGCCAAAATTTTTGTGCTTGCCTTGTTTGGAACCACCATCTATCTGAATGTGTACTATGCTGGTTTAGCATACACTTCTCCAACAGTTGCATGTGCCTTGAGTAATGTTATTCCCAGCTTGACATTTCTAATGGCAGTTCTACTTGGGTATATTCTCTGTCCTTTCCTTTCCCTTGCTTAATTAGAAAGGGGAATATAAATGTTCTTTTTTCCTGTTCTGCAATTTGTTTGTTCTTACACAGGTTGGAGAAGTTGAAGATTAGAACTGCTAGAGGTCAAGCTAAGGTGGCTGGCACACTTTTCTGCATTGGTGGTTCTCTTGTTTTCACTTTCTGGAAAGGAGGATACCTATTTAAAGGTTTCGTAAATATATCTGTTGGTGAGATGAGGCATGTGAAGGAAAACTGGATCAAGGGGCTTTTCTTATTCTGACGAGTCACATTGCATGGAGTGCATGGCTAATCGTCCAGGTGATTTTATAATTGAATTAAGATGACACCCTTTTATGTCACGTAATGTCCAAGTTTAGTTCTTTGTCCAACTTTGGCTCTCTGGTCTCACAGGCTGTGGTCTCCAAAGTCTACACTGCTCGATTATCGCTAACCACGATGATATGCTTTTTCGCGTCGTTGCAATCTTCTTTTCTTGATCTGTTTTTTGCAAGAAATCCAATTTCATGGAGACTGGAGTGGAACCTGCAACTTTCAACCATCGCCTACTGCGTGAGTGTTCTCTTTCTCATATCTTATTATTAGGTTCACAACGTTGATTTCAACAATTGATCATGCAAATTCTTATCTGAATCTGTAGTTCGATTTAAAAACCTCACAGCAGAACATGTAGAAGAGAACATTGTCTTGTGTGTGTGTGTGTGTATAAAGTAAATAAATGGGACATCCTATTTTGTTGTGTCTTATTGGGTATTTTTCTCCTTGTTGGTATAAGATATATTTGAATCTGTCACAAGTTCTGTTCTTCATCCACTCCTTACTTTTGCAATAGGGAGTTGCAATCTCAGCATTAGCCTACTACCTGCAAACATGGTGCATCAGTTACAAGGGACCAGTCTTTGCAGCTATGTTTATTCCACTTCAAGTCATTATAGTGGCATTGTTCTCGGCAATTTCTTTCGCAGAACGACTTCACTTTGGCAGGTAATAACCTGAAGAACACAGACACCTTCTTCCTATTCCATCTTACTACTTCCACATTTGATGGTTTCACTTATCCATTCTATCACGGTAGTTTGTTTGTCATGAAAATTAGTCACAAATTTAATGTGGATTTTGTGTAAGTGGTGATGTGCAGCTTGATCGGAGCGTTTCTCATTATTGTGGGCCTTTACTGTGTGCTGTGGGGAAAGAAGGAAAGACACTCTTGTTGCTGAAGAGACAGAGAATGGAAACAGGGTACTTGAAGACTGGAGAATGATATTTCAGTCATAAATCCAGTCACTAGAGAAAGGACATGATCATAAGAGTTCAGTTTCTTTTTACACATTATACAGAAGATCAATCCCAGATAAAATTTCACAGAGGTAAATGCACACCACCTAACTATAAATGATTGCCAAATTGATAATGGTTTGAGCCCTACAATCCAATCCATATGAACTTATTAATACAAATCAACAAGAGAAATCCTTGTTCTCTTTCATGGTGTCATTTCAGGGAGTTTTCAATATCAATCACAAACCGGTATATCACAACACTTTTTAGTAGCCTCTCAATAGCTTCATTTGCAGATTGAATTGGAATTTTTCAATCATTGGATGAATTCCATTTGAAGCAAAGAAATCTATCATTTCTTGGATATCCTTTGTTCCACCTGTTACACTACCAGAAAAGGTTTTCATACCTGCCAAAAGGCCAATGCATGGAGTTCATTATATATACTTGCAATTGCAATAACAGTTGGATATATAAAACTGTCATTTCAATCATTTGAAACATGCCAATGTACCGATATGAAGGTTGGCAGGACTGATTTTGACTTCACTGGGGAATCCCACCATAAGACCAGAACTCCACCAGTTTCAATAGTTCTACGTATGGATCAAAAGGGTGATCACCAGATGCTATATCAATTATAAAGTCTACTGACTTCACCAGGGCCTACATAGCAAACAATAACCGATAAATACTAAACCTATAGGATAAGCCATCATTTCCACTATTTTTTCTATTGTTCGTGTGATGAGGTAAGAAACTATATGTATTTTTACCTTCATCTGATTTCTGTCAGATGAGACAACAAAGTTATCTGCACCCAGCTGACTTAAAGTTTCCTCTTTCTTGGATATGCTAGTGCTGAAAATTGTTACATTCAAACCAAATGCCTTGCCAAACTTCACTCCCATGTGACCTAGGCCACCAAGGCCAATCACCCCTAGAGATTTACCAGGTTGGTTCATCTTATGGCGTACCATCGAAGCATAAACAGTAATTCCAGCACAAAGTAGAGGGGCTGCCGAAGCCAATGGATAGTTTGCCGGTATTAATGTATGATTGGATGCAGCTTGCTTCTTTATCAAACCAGCGTCCTCATGAAAGGTTGGATCTCCTACTCTTGCGAGATACAAGAGAGGTATTGCACTTTTCTCCCCTTTTAACATTGGGAATTTCAGGTGCATGTGGATATGGTATAGTAAGAATGCGATGCTACTTCTCATCTAACACGTTGTTTGAAATCTCATTTAGAATAGTTTGTATATATATATATATATATATCAATGCCATATGACCTCTGATACCTTCAATTTATTTCAAAACTCTTCTCTTCGTTGTCTCATTAGAATGTTTTGTATCCAATTTTTCATGTGCAGAGATTATATTGATGCATCTCAAAGCAGAAGAGCAGGTTGTCAAGTGCAATGAGAAAAAGTTTGTCATTGGGTTTAGTTCATAATTACCATGGATACATTTTAGAAAGTAAATTCTTACACTAGTAATTTTATGCTATGAAATTCAAGATTCTTTTATCCCCAAAATGTTGGTGGATCCCTGATCCAAAACTTCTAGTCGATAGAACTATGAATTCCTAGTTTATAGGAATAAGGGAACGAGAGGAATTTTAAGACAATTTAGAGAAACAAAAGGAAGAAGCTAAGGAACTGCTTTGAGTTCTGCCTGTTTTAATTCATTCAACTACAATGGTTTATATACAAGCCTGAATGCCTAGAATAGAAAACTAAAAATAATAAATGAATTTAAACCACAAATGTTAAATGGTTTAAATTCTTTAGGTAATTCAAACCATTAATTTTTAAATGGTTCAGAACCATTTCTTCTTAAACCATTCGAGTCGAATGGTTGATAAATTATTTAATTTAAATAATATTTATTATTTAATTATCTTGAAAAGATCCACCTGGATCATGGCTCTCCCATTTAAGACCTTGAGCTCCTGCTCAAGTTAAATGGTGAGATGTGGAAATTCTTGGGTAGCCTTGTCTCGAATATACCATTTCGATTTGCTGGGAAGTTGCCCTTTACTGCCAATACGAAAATACTCATACTTTCCATGTCGGGTCTCACGAACCTTCTGCTCCAAGATACAATCCTTCAGCAAAGGGTCTTCTAGTTCAATTTTTAAGTCATCAACTGATGGAAGCCGAATGTCTTCGTCGGGATCATCATCAAGTAGAGATGGCTCAAAAAGCTTAAGATTCTCGGCATTGATGACCGAGTACATATGCATGTATGGTGGTAATTCAAGTTGAAAGGCATTATCACCAATTTGTTTGATGATCTTGAACGGTCCATAACGAATAGGCTTCAGTTTCTTGCCTTCACCTGTTAGCCGCTCCTTTCCAAGGTGTAACCATACTAGGTCACCTTCTTTGAAGTTACATGGCACACGATGCTTATCATGGCGAGCTTTATATCGTTGCTGAGAACGTTTCAATTGTGCCTCCACTTCAGTATGAATCTTTCTGACTCGTTCGAGAAATTTATGTGCTCGAATATGTTCTTCTTCTTCTTTCCCACATAATGGTTGGTCACTCAGAGTGAATGCTAAATCAAAAGGACTCTGGGGTAAATAACCCAAACAAACCTCAAATGGAGATTTGAGTGTAGAGCCATGAATTGCTCGGTTGAAAGCAAACTGTAAGTAAGGGAGACTTTCATCCCAAGTCTTCGGATGCTTGGAATTGTAACCCCTCAACAAGTGTACCATAGTCCGGTTTACGACCTCCGTTTGCCCATCTGTCTGTG